GATCGGACAAAGCTTGTGACATACCAGTTGGTTAACCTTCTTGATTCTGCCATCAACAACATGACCAACAGGAACTTCCCGCCTCAATTCGTGCCCCTTTATTACAACCAGTCAGGTCCCCTGATGCCCTTGCTCTGTAACCCCTTCAACGCTGATCTCTCTGACAAACAGTGTCAACCTGGTGAGGTCCATCTGAGCAATGCAACAGAGGTAAGCCTACGATTCCGTCTGAAATTTTCTGAATACAGAATCACAAATAGAAAGTAAAATAAAAAGAGTCAAACAACCCAAAAGCGTAAAAATGTTTTCCGCGGCAAGGCCAATAAAAAACGCTCAGCCATTCTCTCCATAAAAAACCGATAAAACATTCCAAACCTCTCTCTGAGTTTGGATGAGTCTTCAGAACCAACCCTATATATAGTGAGCAATAACCATACAATTTCCTAAATCAGGGAAAAGGAAATCCTAGTTGAATACAGAACACATCTTAAAACTAGTAGAATACGTATCACAATCCGTCTTTTGATTGTTTTTATGCAGGTGTGGAAAAACTACACTTGCCAAGTTGTAACACCAGGAACATGCAGCACACAGGGACGTCTGACGCCAAAGCTTTACACCCAGATGGCTGCAGCAGTTAATGTAAGCTATGGTCTGTACCGGTATGGTCCTTTCTTGGCAGACCTGCAAGGGTGTGACTTTGTGAGGTCCACATTCACTGATATAGAGAGGGATCATTGCCCGGGACTGAAGAGATATACGCAGTGGATCTATGTAGGTCTTGTGTTGGTGTCAACTGCTGTAATGCTGTCTTTGGTGTTTTGGGTTATATATGCGCGGGAGAGGAGGCACCGGGTTTACACAAAAGACTACAATGCCATGCACTCTGAAGCTCCACGGGACAAGGGCCATTGAGATATTATGTTAATTTGCTTGTTTACAGTGTACGTTATGTTTGTTGTAAGAATTTGGTGATCTTATGTGTAGTGGATGATGGGAGGAACCTTTGATTGTGATTGTTGTCATATTAATATTTTTTTCGTAATATGAGATAGCCTTTGTAATGCTTGTGTGCATTTTTGCTTCTTGGCTCTTTGATTGTATGGGATTCTAGTCCTTCCTTGTTTCGTGTTGTACAAAACCTTCCTTCTATATATTCTACTTTCAGTGAAAACAAAGAAAAGGAACTACACTCCTATCCCTTTTCTTTTCTTTTCATTGTCCAAAATATTTGTGGTTTCCCTTGTTCTGATTTTTGTTTTTTTTTTCCATTTGAATTATAGTATATTGGTAATAAAACTTACATGAGATTGTTCGGACGGCAGAATGTTATCTTCTCGATTATTTCCGATGCTCTCTAGTCATCATAACAAGGCACACGATTGGACAGAAACATAAATGTAAGTGGGTATAGTTCTCCAACCGATTTAGAAAGGTCTCGGTGGAATATGATGTATCGTAAGTTTTATAGGAAAAGAAGAATTTTCGGTGAAAGTGTAATTCCTTTCGCGATAGGTAATTGTGTTATTTCAGAGGGGTATTTATAAACATACCTGAGGCGGATACCGGGACGAGTTCAGTTTGGGCTAACCAATCCTTTCGTACATTACTAATACTAGCAATGCGAAAGGGTTCATAACTTATGACAAATCATTTTCAACTCCACGCCTTTTGGATTCGACGTACGTCTCGTCATGGCATTGAGAATTAAATGCTATCCACTAGGACTCTGTTGGGAAAGTGGCGGATCTAGAAATTCTTTTCACTTGGTGCAAAGATAAAAAACTATCAAACAACACACTATAAAATAATATATCAAGAGGGGTATCACAAAAAAAAAAAAAATCCTTAAAGAATTACACTAATTTTGAGAATTTTATGGTGGGCAAGTGCTTCACCCAATTTTTCTCTGCCTCTACCGCAACCAATGTTATCGACGGTCACAGCTTAACCATCTCAAGTAGATATGTTCTAATTTACTTAATATTTCAAAAAATAAATATTAAAGCTTGCGCGAGAT